AATTAAATAGAAAAAGGAAAGAAAAAAAAGGAAGAGGGATTTTAGATGGTTGGTTCTAATACGAAAGACACGAAGGAAGTCATGTCTTGTCCATTTTGACAGAAAGCGTTTCAAAGCCAAATTGGTGGGCTTGATTTGATTTTTAAATCATGAATCTGTTACTTCAGAACAATTTATATACAATTATTATAGCCTACTTATACTCTAGCTTGTCTTTTGTTTCTTGTAGGTCTAAGCATAAATAAACCCTACCGAATAATCTTTAGACCAAATCATGAAACAAGACTATAAGAGACAGCACTATTCTTGGATAGGTGTCCTGGTTCAAAAAATGGGATGTGTTTCGAACGGATGGTCAATAGCGTAGATCGAGAAATTACATTACTATTTGGGTTTGTTATTTAATCGAACACGTAAAAAAAGAATGCTAAAACGAATAATTATCGCATCTTGAACAAATATCTATAGAAACTATACTTCTTGAAATTTGCTAAACTTTATCTTCTTGTATTTCTATGAAACTCTTAACTTTCAAATTCATTTAAAAAATATATATATATATATAAACAATTTAAAAATTAACATAACAATGAAGTAAATGGAAAATAAGAAACTATCAATGAGGTAACATAACATATCTTTTCAACAATTTTATTTGCTTTCAACTCTTATAAGACGTGTGAATTTTTTGTAATGTTATTTTACTATGTGTACGTAATTTATCAAAGAAGGTTTACACGATTTAAGTTTTGTCACTAACCTATATGCGGATTGCGGAATGCATACGTATTATTGTATTAACTCCATTATATAAGCGTCTAATCTATTAGTTTTGAGCTTCTAGATATTATTCATCATGCTATATATACACATATAATAACACAAAATTTTACTTTTAACATATATAGTTTTACCTAAATATAAACTCAAGAATAATTAAAAGTTTAATACTATGTATATCATTTGTTTTAATCTTCTCCATTGTCATCTACCTAATTAACTCGATCGTAAAAAACGAACAAATGCATCCCCAACATTGACTTACCAGTGGACTGATTATCATCAATTATTACATGGTCCTTGCTAAATGAAGTTATAGAAAATTTCCAATATACTGATTGATATGTCGTCTTGACGGAACATTGGGTAGTGTTAAAAGGTTAGTTCCATCGATACTCCACTTTGATAACAAATAACAATTTGCCATTTGAATTAGATCCAACGCAAGAATATTTGTTATGGGTCAAAAACTAATTATTCAATAAAGTTAAGCACCATATTCTAAATATCCTGTACTAGAGTCTCTAGACATTGACACTTTCTCTATGTATCAGACAAAAAATCTAGGCATTACGAATATCTCTATTTAAAAGTGAATCTTAGATTGTCTTTCAAATCTAAAACAAATCAAAACCATCCATAGCTAGACACAAAAACATGAATCTCTATTTTGTCGACTTGATAGTATGTAATTTGGGAACTAACCCAAATGAAAAAGAAAAGCAAGTGATTGTGAGTTTTGTTGCTTTGTTTATAAATTTTCGTTATAAACATAAAACTTTCCGTATATGATTTTTGAATACAAGACCAATTCGAAAGATTCAATGGATCCGCAAAACACAACATGTTATTTTCTCAAATAAAATACTTATGTTTGAATGAATGTGTTACCCAAACTTTAAAACATTATATATGGATTCTTTTTTTTTTGTTATTACTGGATCGGCAAGGCCGGATCTACAATCCAATCTCTACTACGCAAAAGTAACACGACCTAGTAGAGAACTCTGATGAAAAGGGCACAAAGATGGACCGTTAACCACTTGACTAAAATTACTTCCCACATTAGATATGGACTCTAAAAAGATGATAATAAAATACTGCTTTCATTGTAAATTAAGTATTGTTTTATCATTGTTTGTTTGTTTCAAAATAAATATCATTTTGGATTGTAACATAAAATTTGCATAAGATAAATAATTGAACTAAGTAAGAAAAATACAAAATAGAATAAAATGCCAAATTCAACTTATTGAAATTATTACAACGACACTTATTATAAAATGGATAGAATATTTTCCATAGATAATTTCGAATATTATGGTATAATCTTTCTCAATGACTTGTCAATTAATTTTTCCCGATTTAAGTGAATCTCTTTCATTTGTTAAAACTGGGAAACTAATAAGAATCAAACCCATAAAAAAAAGATATTAAGTTTAAGATGTGACTGTAATTACTACTTAATATTCTTCTCAGTTACATGTGGTCGTCCATCATCTAGCATAGTGCGGTTGTTGGTCTAATCAACAGATCAAGTAAAACTTAGCTTTACTTCTTTGCATTAGGAGAATCGTGCATTATTCTCTTTACTATGATCATATCAATTTTATTGTTTCTGCTCCAACATTTTTTATGTGTAAATTTATAATTTAATTATATTGCTCGATATAGTTGTTTTTTTTTTTCGTTCACCCAACTCGAGAAATAGGTTAGCTTTGGTTTTTTTTTTTCGGTTAGAAAACACCAGATTTTTATATGACCGATTGGCTGATCTCAACTTTTTTTTTTTGAGCCGGTTCGATAATATAATATTCGGTTGGCCTCAAACTATATAATATGTCACTTTAGTAATAAATTCGGACTATTTTCCATTTGTCATTTTGTTCACAAAGTTGTGTCCACCTAAATTATATATACTTGGTTTTGGCCAATCAATATTATTTTTAAAATTTTTAGGTTGACAAAACTAAATTATTGTTGAATAATACCTTGCCCGACCTGGTTGGTAGATTTGACCGATGTAATTGAGTAAAAAATAGATGGTTCTCATCGCTTAGGTAAAGCAAATATTCATAAATATCAAATTAATTAGCCAATTGACATAGAGATCTATTGGCTATAAACGAATTATTCAACTGCAAAGATACTGCAGCTCCAATGTCTTTTTATTATTCCTATGTTACTTCTAGGCCTTGAATGGTTGGTAGGTATGGAGCGGACCGGACTAAAGTCGGACTAGTCCGCACTAAATTTACCATTCAACAAATCGGAATAGTATGCAACACTCCGGATTAAAAACTCCATACTAGTATGCAAAACTCCATACCGTGTCAATTCCATTACTTTTTGGTTTACACCTTTCAAGCTCCATACCATCTCCATACCTACTCCATACCAATAGCAAAAATGAGATCAAAGTGTGTTTCTTTAAAGTTGGATCCGAGTACTTTTTTCTCATTGGTTAAACTTGTGTTTTTTTGTACTTTTCAAAAACATTTATATATGATCATTCACAATTGTAAAAACTCAAAAACAATCATTTATTCCAAAAAAAAAAAAAGGAGAGAGAAGAGAGAACTCTCTTAGATCTTAGAAAGTAACTCTCTTTTTTTGCTTTGAATCTACCATTTGTTTCATCTCAAATTCATAAGTAAGTTCAATTCCTCATCTCAAATTTTTATAGTTTAGTTTATAGTAAATATTTGAGAATTAGTGGAATGTTTTTTGAAGTTTTGAAGTTTGAAAAGATTTTTAGATTTTAGTAATGAAATTTGAAAAGGTAATTTTAGTTTTTGTTGTATAAATCTTTAGTTTATAGTAGATATTTGAGAGTTATTAGTGAAATTTGATTTTGATTTGTAATTTTAAAAAATATGTTGTAGTGTTTATTATAAAGACATGTTATTAATTATTATTAGAAAATTGTTAAAATTTGTTTTGGTTTTTTGTAAAAACTTTTGCATACTATGGTACGCTTTTAACCATTCAAGTGATAAACTTTAGTGCATACTATGGTATGCTTTAGTGCATACCATTGTTTAGTGCATACTAAAGTATGCATGTCTCCATACCAAAATGTTAGTATGCAGGTCTTAGTATGGAGCATACCATTGAACCATTCAAGGCCCTAGTAAAATAGAAAGTTGAGGCTAATATTATTAACTTCACTCTCAAGAAACGGTGATCAAGTATGTACCACGGGTCCACGACCAGAAAAACTGTTTTAATTTAACTGGTTTGTGTGTGTCAGTGTGTGTTTTATATAACAATGATTTGTGTTTATAAAAATTTATAGGGTTTTTTTGTTTCTTTTTCTATTATAGAGAATTGGTAATTTGATGAATTCAGACAACTATATATAGATCTATGTTGTACGGTTACCACATAATATTTTTTCTTTTTTATCAATTCATAATTCTTTTTTTTTCTCACACGTTACTGTCTAAAAAAAATTAACAAGTTACGGTAATCACTTACAGTAAAAAAAAAAAAGAATTAATTTACTAATTTCTTCGGATTGCGTCTTATATACTACTAAGATAATATCGCTTTTTAAGTGAGTAATATTATTAAATTAAAAAATTTGGAAAACCAAAGGATAGTTGAATAACAATAATTGGCAAAGGAAGGTGGGAGGGAGGTAGAGAGAAAAGCTGAGGAATCAATGTACTCTTAGAAATGTACCTTTGTGTACAAACTACAATATATGTGGAAGCATAATATCATCCACATATTGTTCTAGATTCTACAGCTGGCTCCAAATCTTTGTTCTTATTTAATTAATCTCAATATATATTATCATTTTTACTTGATATTTACTATAGTAAAAATGTAACAAAGTAAAAAAGAAAAGAAAATACATCTTGGCTTCAAAAATCCATAATTTTATTAGATTAAGGAGTTTCTGATTTTGTGATGGTTTATAGTAGCTATAACTGTTTAACCAACGGAAAAGTATTGAGGACTTGTTAGTGCATGCACTTACTAAGCTAGAGATAGATACATGAATCATTGTTTAGCCTAAGATCTTAATATTCATTAACTAGACTAATTATATCAATGTTAATGTTAATATATTAGTGCCTGAGATGTTATTCTTGATCATATATATGTCATTTACTTAGGGATTCTTTGTTAGAGTATAGTAGAAATGTTTATGGATCATAAAATAATGTTCAACATACATAAAATAGGTGAAAATTGCATATATTATAAACTTTAAGCTGTCGAATTCATTTAAGATACTAATGTAGAGAATGATTTTAAACTACATATAAGACATTTATAAACAAATCATCGTAAGGATAATCATTAACACAAACAAAGAAGAAAAGACATATACATAGAAACCAAACTAAATCATCCCCTAGGCCTTCTTTTATTCATCATCATCATGATAATGGTGATTATTATGATGATGATGACTAGTCATGATGAGATTGACAAGGAGGGAGAGTTTGGCGTTCGGACTCAGAGACACGAGAGGCATGGAACTTGGCGATGAAGGCAGAAGCTTTACGGTCAATACCTGGCTCAGCCACCCAATAACGCTTGTCCTCGTCGCTGGCCCATGCCTTTCTTGTGTAAACGACATCGTCCCATGATGCATCAGCTTCAACTCTATGATGAGAAGATCTTCTTGCTTTAAAGAAGCTAAAGAGCGAGAACTTCTTTCTGCTATGACCTCCCATGACAGACAGAACAAGAACAGCAATTTAGATTAAAGGAAAAGAAATGTAAAGTTTGTAAGGTTGTGTGTAATTTGATGTGTTTATGGAGAGATGGGGTTTTGGGATGTATTTATAGGATGCTTGAGGCAAAACAGCCTTTTGTGGGTGTTCTTTTTTTGGGTCCGGTTTGGTTCGAATCTTGGTTGGTCCTTTTTTTTTTTTTTTCCTCTCTTGGTTGGTCCTTTTTAGAAGTTATCATACCGAAATAAAGTTTGGTTTAGTTAGTGTTATATTGTTTACGTTGTCCAATAATCATTCACCTAACTCTGAATATACAATAGTTTAAAAAAATTTAAGAAAACAAACAAAAATTACTAAATAAATATATATGTGCTTCTAAATAAAAACATTGCCGATCGAGACATATATATTAACAACAACAAAAATGCCGAGTCATATAATGTTATAGAAAATGTAAAAATAACGTATAGGGTATCATATATGTTATGTATGGCCTACTATACGTGTAATTAGGATATATTACGTACATATAGTTTCACGTAACATTATGAATTCTAAGTTTGTGTAACACTACATGTTATATATGAAACTATAATACTTTATGATTTCTGTTCCCCGAAAAACTATAATACTACATGTTATATATGAGACTATATTTATTACGAACAAAACGATGATCACTATACAAATCTAATAATAATATCAATCCAAATAGATGTTTTTATGGATTGCGTCTTTTAACCATAACTGCTTTTTGTATATATAATTTTCTCTCTTTTTAATTAAAAATTTTGGAAATATTTACTATTATATACTAGGATTCAGGACCCCCGCGATGACGCGGAAAAATATATTTTAAAAATCGTTTAAAAAATGAAAAATCATAATGAATTGTAATAAAAAAAAATTTAATAACAAATCAATATATTTTTACGAAAATTATGATAAAGAAAACCATCACAAGCATTTATTAAATATATTAATATTAGAAAAACATTAATTTGTAACTAAAAACTATTCCCAAGTGCAAAAGCATCAAATAATAAACCAAATGTCACAAATGTTTGATAAATAAGCCAAAATGTTCAACGTCAAATAAACCAAATGGTACTATGTTAAATTAAACGGTAACAACAATTCATTTAAATATATTTTAGTAACTAAATATTTTTAATAAATATGACGAATTTTATCCAAGAGACGCAACCGTAGATATCAAATATACCAAAAGCTGCAATGGTTCGTCAAATATACCAAATATTGCAATGGTTCATCAAATATACTAAAGATTACAATGGTTCGTAAAACAAAACCAAAACATGCAATAATTCGTCAAATAATCCAAATGTTGCAACAGTTCAATTAAATAGTTACAATCTCATTTAAATACATATTACTAATTAAAAATTAAGAATTAAAAATAATAATTTATGAAAAGTTACACCGACGGTAAATGATTAAATGTTATAAAGATTTATAAAATAAACTTAAAGTTGCAATTGTTCGTGAAATAAACTAAATGTTGCAATGGTTCAACTAAATAGTTGCAACCGTTTTTGAAGAGCTACAATAAAAAGATGCAACCGTATAAAATATTTACTCGGATTAATGCAACTTTCTCAAAAAACATAACGTAAAATCTATTTTTTTAGTTTTTTAAAAAAATAAACGAAATATTTCGATATACCAAAAGTTGCAATGGTTTATTTCGTCAAATAAACTAAAGATTACAACGGTTCGTAAAACAAAACTAAAAGTTGCAATGATTCGTCAATAAACCAAATGTTGCAATGGTTCAATTAAATGGTTACAATTTCATTTAAATATATTTTGATAATTAAAAAATAAAAATTTATGAAAAGTTATACCGAGAGACGCGGCGGTAGATAATTAAATGTTATAGCTATTTATTTTTTTATAAAATAAACCAAAGGTTGCATTTGTTCATGAAATAAACTAAATATATAAACCAAAGGTTGCAATTGTTTGTAAAATAAACTAAATATTGCAATGATTCGAATAAGCGGTTTCAACTGTTTATGAAGAGTTACAATAAAAAGACGCAACCGTAGAAGACATTCAGAATGCAATTTATATATAAAAAAAATATAACCCTAAAATATATATGAATTTATAAAAAGATTAACGAAAAGTTGCAAGGAAAAGACGCAACCGTTCAGAGGTGCAAAAGGCATTTATTGAGATTGCTATTATATATAGATTAAAAGAGAGTTTTTGGTGCTTATATATCAAGCCCACAATTTTTCTCATCTTTTTTACTTTTTTATTTATTTAACTTTACTATACATCTTGCCAAACACTTATACATAAGATATTCTTATTAACTCAACTTACCAAAATTAAGTATCTCAAAATTTCATATAAGAAACTCTTATATGAAGATTTCTTTATATTAAATGCATTGTGTATTTCAATTGCAAATTAAACAATATAACATACATATACATATATATATATATATATATATATATATATATGATTTTAACATCAACAAATTATTATAAAATTTTAAATTAAAAGGGCAAATCTATAAGTTTAAATATAATTTTATTTGTATACATAAATCATTAAGATAATTGAAATTTAATTTGTAAGTTTATTTTTAGACTAAAAGATTGTGTTATAAATCAACTCTCGTTGATTAATTCCCATTTGTTCACTCTAAGTGTTAAAGTGTAAGTCAACCACTTGATGCAATTCGGCAGTTTTTTTAATAATTTATTATGTTAAACCCACTTCAACTTTATATCATTTCTCATATTCTTCAAAAAAATGAAAAGTACTCGGAAGACATTATATATAACATTTCTCAGAATTCAACAGTCACACTCAAAACACAAGTCACTAACAAATCAAACACACAAATTTCAAATAAGAACTCCAATCATAAATGTGCTGTAAGAGAAAACAAACACAAAATTTTAGTAGTGCCTCTAATGATAGTTGTGATTCCACAGAGTAGTTTCGAGGTGAATAAGCGCCTAGTAGGATACATCATCACCACCTACAATATATGGTTCGTCATTTGGAATTACTATTGACATTGGGAACACGACAGAGAAAACATTTCGGACATCATACATAAAGGATCCCTAAAAATAGTGAAAAGATTCATAAACACTAAAAAAATAATATGAAAAACATAAAAAACATGAAAATTTTTTATGTTTTTCATATCATTTTTTTAGTGTTTATAAACCTTTTTATTTTAAGTGATCTTTTATGTGTGTAAAAAAGTATAGCGCACTCAAATCGAACAGAGTTTCAGAGTAATTTATTCACAAATAGCCAAACACTTAAACCTCTAATTGGAAAAGCTAAAGATACGAAGTTTCCTCTTGGTAAGTAACCCCAATATAATAAAGAGTCTTTTTATGGAGATTATCTAGATCTTTTATTTGTAAACTTAATTGAAAAGAATCCATAATGAAGATACTAATCCATAATGCTGATGCAAAAATCATCATGCACATCACACCTTGGACTTTCAGGTCGTCAAGGACAATCATTTTCAACACTAGAAATCAAGATTTTTTCGCAGCCGTAGCAAGACTAAATTAAATAAGTTTTACTATGTTAGCAAATTTGAAAGAATCTTCAAATGCTTGATAGTTGTGGATGAATATGCGTGATGGTGATGATTTCATGTAAGATCTATTTTTTGTCGGACTAATGTTGGGTGGAAGTTTGATTATGAAGTCGCGGTAAGTACATGAGACTTCATACTTGTTCATCATTGGTAGTCAATATCGAATTCGTTTAGCTCGACTACCAATTTGCCATTTGTCCGGACTATCCTGGATTGTGGAGAATTTGTTGAAGTAGTTGATATGTTAACACTAGAATCATGTGCGATTGGAAATACGGCTGAATCTTGCGTGCCAAAGTGACTACTGCAAATGCTATATATCTTCTCAAGTGTGGGCTACCCTCATCTCTATCCCATCGCAAGTTTTGCGGACGAATACCCAGATGATGTCGAGCTTGATATACCTATGTAGCGATACATTGTTTCCCCAAATTTGGGTTTTCAGAGCACCGAAATCGTGGAAAGATAGTTCTTTAGTTCCTTAAAGGGTTTTCGCATTGTTTGGTCCATTTGAATGTTCAATGTTAGATTTGCGGTAAACATTAGACATTAGGCATTTTATGTTCGGAATGTGATCAATAAAATGCTGAACTAATTTCACAAGTTAGTAAAATTTGATGATTACGGTGGTTAGTGATTATTTAGACTTGAGTTTAATGCGTGTTCATTATCTAATTACAAATATAACTTTAGCTTAATTAAGTAATTAACATAGAATTCATATCTTGGAAGTTAATTTAATCTAGTTTAATTGACTGAAGCCTAATTAAGGATTACCATTGAATTATTGTACGAGCATCATGAATTGGTTAGCAACTCCTTGAGTCAATTGCCATGCCCAAGGTTCGCCTGTTCAATCTTAAATTTGTTGTTGCATGCTTAATTTGGTTTACATTGTTGTTAGTCTTTTTCCTAATTCTTTGATTTGTTTATCTTGCTTAATTCATTTTAAATTTTTCATTTTACATTGTTTTTAGAATAAACAAAAAAAATATTTAATTCAATAAATTTTTTGTATTCTTTCATGTGCTACCACGCACTAATGTTTTGATGTTCGATCTCTATTTACTACATACAGTATTTGACTTGCACTTGAAGTAGTATTAGACAATTACTTCTTTTTTTAATCAATGTGTAACTTAAGAAGTTAATATAGAGTTGCCAAAAATCATTGATACTAATACATATAACGACTTAACACAACATAAATTATTTTTCCTCAAACGAAATGTTGTAATTATTTTTCCTCAAACGCAATATATAATACAGTATACAAATAACTTATTTAGTAGTCTTATATTAAACGACTTAACAGATCTATAATCCTTCCAAAATTAGATAATGATGTATTTTTATATAAAATAAACTATTTGGTATAACGAAATTTCGTCGAACTCATCCATCAGATAATGAGCCATTTTGGTATAATTATTTTTCCACGTTGAAATCATATATAACAATTGTTTAAACAAATCAA